ACGAACCAGAGTTTTCATGTGCCATATACTTATAAAGAAATACCTCGACCCAAAATACCTTGTTTAGACAGTTGAGTTTTTTCAATTTAGTAAATGAGCACAAATAGATTATCAAGTACAATAGATGGCAACATATAAATGAACCAATTATACACAACGTCACAAGAGTCAAATATAACAAGGAAAACGAAATTATCTCACATTTGTTGACATTTTTTCCAAGATTAAATAAAAAGTGTTAAAACAGAGACTAAAGAACACATAAAATTGCAGTTATTTCACTGTAAGAAAAGCACTTTAATCTAAAATTATCACTATTATTGATGATTTTGTCGGACACAAAAACTGAATTGACACTTGTGACGAAAGAATACAACTGTACTGAGAGTGTACAAATTCTACGTTGCCATCTATTGTACTAGAATCTATTTGAATGAGCATAGGCACAGAAATATGCCAGTTTTGCAGCTTACAAGGAACTCTGAATACAAAAAAAACGGATTAAAAAAATTCCGTACACTCGTCTCTACAGTCTCATCTTTTGTGTGGGTAGACATGTATATATATAGGGTTACTCACAACACAAATTACAGACTTACAGACGGACGACCAGAAAGTCGTATAATATGACGATCTCTAGGCTAAATTACTTCTGATGCCTTACTAATTCTTTCAGCGGCTTATTTAATGGCTTGACAAAGAAACGAACAAGTTTACAGTTGTAGGGAATCGTGAATATAAGGAAACAGATTACGTACAGTCGTCTGTGATGTCTAATCCTTTTGGTGTAAAAAGAAACTGAGCACCTTCGGTGCTGCTTGATTTTGTAGTTTCAAGTACTTTATCATAAATCATATTTGATAATTTTTTTCCGCCTTTTTTGTTTTGGCCCTCTTCGAGGTATTTTAAAGAGCTGGGGGTGGGGCAAATTTGAACTGTAAATTAAGAACATTTGATTTGGATCAGGCACATCAATATAAACTCCGCTGGTTCATTTAAAGTGCTGGACTGACTTTAAGAAAGCTAGAGCAAGTTGTACAATATACATACAGACAATTAATGGGCGGCTTAAATGGGACGGTACACCATACTATATCTAGAAACGCTAGACTCAAATGTACACAAATTGTGTCCAGTTTAACTCTGTGGGAGCAATGTAAACAAACCTTGCAGGACCAAATCTTAAAAAACGCTAGTCATTTTCTTAAACATGTGTTGTGACTCTAAATATCGAAGATATTACTCAATAAGTAAGGCGGTTCCTAGTCAATGTATATTTCTTGCAGTACCGGGCATATCCCTAAAGAAGATTTGGGGATTACAAATTAGCGTGGTTACCATCCCTCCCTCCATTGAGTTATCAGCTGATTAGTATTAAATTTTACACACATTTCATTATCGATTTGAGATAGAAAAGTATGCATAATGCTGGATACTGAATGTAGGATGCTGGATACTGAATCAGGATGCAGGATGCTGGATACAGGATACAGGATACCTGTTTTGGATACAGGATTCTGGAATTTAATGAGATAAAGGACGGATTGAAAAGAGATAAATGGTTTAAGTTTAGAAAACGACGGATAGAAAATGAGAGAATTAAAGATATTTATAGGACGGATTGAAAAGAGATAAATGGTTTAAGTTTAGAAAACGACGGATAGAAAATGAGAGAATTAAAAGAGAAGAGAAGGACAGATATAAAAGGTTCAAAACAGGAAGGATTGAGTATTAAGAAAAGGACGGATTAAAGAGAAATAAATGGGTTGAGTTTAAAGAAAAGGACAGATTAAATAGATGGGTTCAAAATGAAGGACGGATCACTGAAAAAATAGACTGAATTGACTATGTGGGACTGATTAAACGAAGAATGGGTTGAATTGAAAAACAGAGAATTGATTAAGTTCAAAGACTAAAAATGTTTAAAAAGATAAGGACAGATTTTAAAGAAAAGAAAGGACGGATTGAAAGGAGAAAAGTGGATCGAAGTTTAGAAAAGGACGGAGAGACACAAAGAGAAGAATGGGTAGAATTCAAAGAGAAGGCTTTTATAAGATTAGAAATAGCATAGGTTGAGCTCAAAGAGAAGGACTGATTAAATAGTGTAGAATGGGGTTAGATTTAAAGAGAAGGACTGATTACAAAGAATAGAATGGGTCAGGTTCAAGAGAAGGAAGGATTAAAAAAAAGAGTAGAATGGGTTATGTTAAAAGAGAAGGAATGATTGAAAAGAGAAGAATGGGTTAGGGTTAAAGAGAAGGACTGATTAAAAAGAATAGAATGGGTTAGGTTTAAAGAGGAGGACTGATTAAAAAGAGTAGAATAGGTTAGGTTAAAAGAGAAGGAATGATTGAAAAGAGAAGAATGGGTTAGGGTTAAAGAGAAGGACTGATTAAAAGAATAGAATGGGTTAGGTTTAAAGAGGAGGACTGATTAAAAAGAGTAGAATAGGTTAGGTTAAAAGAGAAGGACTGATTAAAAAGAATAGAATAGGTTAGGTTTAAAGAGAAGGGCTGATTAAAAAGAGTAGAATGGGTTAGGTTTATAGAGAAGGACTGATTACAAAGAATAGAATGGGTTGGGTCTAAAGAGAAGGACTGATTAAAAAGAGAAGAATGGGGTAGGTTTATAGAGAAGGACTGATTACAAAAATAGAACAGGTTAGTTTTAAATGAAGGTCTGATTACAAAGAATAGAATAGGTTAGGTTTAAAGAGAAGGACTGATTGAAAAGACTGGAATGGGTTAGGTTTAAAGAGAAGGACTGATTAAAAAGAAAAGAATGAGTTAGGTTTAAAGAGAAGTGCGGATTAAAAAGAGTAGAATAGGTTAGGTTTATAGAGAAGGACTGATTAAAAAGAGTAGAATGGGTTAGGTTTAAAGAGAAGGACTGATTAAAAAGAAAAGAATGAGTTAGGTTTAAAGAGAAGTGCGGATTAAAAAGAGTAGAATAGGTTAGGTTTAAAGAGAAGGATTCATTTAAAAGAATAGAATGGGTTAGGTTTAAAGAGAGGGAATGATAACAAAGAATAGAATGGGTTGGGTTTAAAGAGAAGGACTGATTAAAAAGAGTAGAATGGGTTAGGTTTAGAGACAAGGACGGATTTGAAAGAGAAGCATGGGTTGAGTTTAAAGAGAAGTAAAAAGAATCGTATTTACCGTTGTGAATCGGACATGCCATCCTACAAATGGAAGGTCTACAATTCCTTTAAAATACTTTGTTGGTTAAATGGATGGTGGATGATTCGGGTTTTATAATGGTTGAATTAGAAATGGCGATCCTGAGAGAAACAGTTATCTAGGCTAAAATTGTTGCTAGGAAGTGGTTGCAAAGAGCCATGAAGATTAGTGTTTATAATTTGGCTTTTTGTATCTAATAATCGTGAAAACGGCCGAACCGATCTGGCCGTCAATGTTTGTGGCCACTAACATGACCCTAGGGAAGTCTGAAATTGTCCTGCATAAAAGCAACATATAAACGCTAAATATGTCACTAAAAGAGGGGTGCATGATCGCATTCTTAGTATTATACAATGGATATTGGATATCATATATTCATATAAAGGAAACATATTTATACATGTAAATGTACTTTGATGGTATCTGATGATAAATACCTAAACTTCAAATTGATAAATTACTTCCAGTTTAAAATATAGATACAATGATTAATTATTAGAGAAATTAAATGAATAGCGGGAAGTAATTGAACTATGAACCAAATCTCTTGAATCGGCGCACGAGAAAAATGGTTCAACTTAGTCTACGAAGTTCAACTAATTCTCGCTAATTATTAAATTGGGTTTCTCACAGAGCCAAAAAAAAACATCCTGGAAACCTCGATAAGACAAACATCAACAATAAATAAAAATTGACATAGTTCTATTGTTCAAACATATACATTCAAACATCAAAATAAATTAAAAACACGTTAAACATCTAACTAATCAGCTATACCACCCAAATATCTGAATATTCAAACATAACAAACATGAAATCAACAAAACAACAAAACACCCAATCATTAATAATATATTAACAGCCACAATCCAAAACATCGGATCATGTAATCTAAGATAAAAATGTTATTTCTATTCATAAAAAAACTAAATACTTATGTTTTTACATGATTGGCTTTATTTTGTTTCATTTTCTTGTTGATCATATTTTCAAGAAATATATCATTAATTTTTTTAACTTCATTGATATTAATCATGTTTAACTTAAAAACTTTTAAATGAACAAAATGAGTTAAACTCAGTCTAACCTCGCCGATTTGAATTGGACTAGACCAATAAGAGATTAACTAAAACGGACCTTAATGCTCAAATCTCTAGATTTTTGGCAAATGAGAGAGGCACGCGCGTTTAATTCATTCCGTCCATTTGAATATTATTAGAAGTTAGAACTTTAGTGTGGTGAATCTCGGGATGAAGCATTGATCTCCATGTTCTGCAGAACTACGGTGTAATTTAATCCCTCTCTAGTGTCCCGTCATAGTCATCCTTCCAATAACTGTAATTGAGGGATGAAGCATTGATCTCCATGTTCTGCAGATATATGTATTATGCAAATATTTTTGTTTTGACATTTTCGGCTGTTAAATAAACATCGTTGGAGTTTGAAAAAAATATAATAATATAATACTTTAAACATTTTCTTGAAAAATAAAAACATCTAAAAATTAAAGGAACTTACGTTCTTTTTTAAAATGTGAATGAGCCTTTTGGCATTGGCTCCTAAAACGGTACCCATAACATAGAAATAAACCACATTGAGTGTAGTTTAGTTTATCATTCAATACTTTTTTATATTTAAAGTAATTTACTATAACAATAATATATAAAGAACATATATTTTTTACATACAGCTGTCAGCTAGGCACCTTTGGCAGATCGCCACATTTTAAAGCTTAAGTTTTCTAAATTCTGAATCATGTACGTTCTTGTTCTTCTTACTTTTGCATTTTCATGTTTTAAGCCTTAGCTAAAAAAATCAATGTTCTCATGTTCAAGGTTTATTGACTATAAAGTTTGAAACTGGGATTTTGTTTACATTTCATGAAATTACGCAATTGGGCGTTGTCATACATAGTTCGAGCAATAAATTTAAACAAGAACTGTTCACAAAGGATCTATATAAAAAAATGACATCAATGCTCTACGAAGAAATTGCCAAAATTCAATAAAGCTAGCCAAGCAATTGCTAAAGTGATGCCAATGCTATTTTGAAATTAAATATGTAACTTTTGATCACAATTTGACCTATTAAAAATAAAAGTTTATCTTCTTATTTATATATTTATACTGTTTTGTCGGCAGACATGCGCTAAGAGCATGATAATAAAACTCCATAAGTTTAAATAATGATGAATTTAGACCTAAACAAGATTGAATTTTTAAAAAAGGCAGGAGAGTTTGTGTTTTTAAAAAATGTAATGAAATTCTATAATTTAGAATCTTTTTGTTACGCCTCTGATGCAGTTTTTTCACTTTTATATGGATACACTTTATATGGATACCCTTTATTGTATTGACCAGAGCTTTGGTAAACAACAAGCAATTGGAAACACATAGCTTTGCCTTGAAACTAAATTGGAACACATAGCTTTGCCTTGAAACTAAATTTTCTCAATAAAAGTCACCTTTTGAATTTTGAATTATAAAACCAATCTATAATAAAATCCTTGCTCTACCGAGTTCACCAATACAAGTTTGGGGCAAATCGGTCAAGGGATTCGAGAGTTATGATCGGACAGTCAAATAGACAAACAGAGATATTACTTACATATATATAGATACTGGGTGGTCAACTATACTCATATTAGGAGGGGGAGAAGGAGGAGTGAGAGAAAACTGATGGTTCTTGGTAGCACTAGTGGACTTCCTGAGATTGATTCCTGCTCAGGGTTTGATTTTAAGCTGGATTCTCCAGCGATTATACTGGTATCATCAGCCGCAGTAGTTTCTTCAGTACGGAGAATTCTCTGAATTGTATCCAACCCGTCTGTGCTCACCACCACATTCCAATCATCTCCGTACAACGTGTCCTCATCCATATTCTTGTCCTTGTCCTCATAAACATAGGCCGGGATATCAGGTTGCATGGTCCACGTTGGGTCTGGAGTGACTGTATCTAAGAGAACCTGGAGATTCTCTTGTTCCCACTGTTGCTCCAGGTCCGCTGTTGTAGCAGGGATCATTGTGCTCGTTTTATCCTGAGGCAAACTTAATTCTAACATATTCTCTTTAATGTTCAAAAATTGTTTTGATAATCACATATTATTGAAGATCAGCCTACAAAACTAATCCCAACCCATCGACCTAATCCTAGCCAACCAAACTAATCCCAGCCTACAAAACTAGTCCCAGCCCACCAAACTAATCCCAGCCCAACAACCTAATCCTAGCCACCCATTTAAATCCCAGCCTACCAAACTGATCCCAGTCTATCAAACTAATCCTGGTCCAACCATCTAATCCCAGGCTACCAATCTAATCCCAGCCTACCAAACTAATCCCATCCTACCAATCTAATCCAAGCCTACCAAACTGATCCCAGTCTATCAAACTAATCCTGGCCAACCATCTAATCCCAGGCTACCAATCTAATCCCAACCAACCAATCTAATCTTAACCAACCAATCTAATCCCAATCTTATCTTTTTATTTTTTTTAAACCTAAAGATAAGTGTATCAAAAGATGCGTCTTAAGCCGCTGAATACCGTCCATTTTTTATATTTCAAAAAAAATTATTGAAAACTAAAAACCTAGTTTTTTTATATTCGGTAACCGGTGGCCGAATTTAAAGAATTTGAGCGGCGGTTTAAATTTAAGCCGCGGCTTAAATATGGTTGGTTCCACTTAAAATTGTATCAAATATTTCAAGATCTAAGCCGGCGCTTAATTTAAACCGGGTTTTGGCGGATTTAAACCTCGGCACAAATTCTTTAAATTCCATCTCCGCTTTATTTATTTACAGGAAATATTTTTCTGGCTAAAATTTGTGATTTGATTTTCACAAAAAAAATTTGAATAATTTTGAAAATTATAAAAACAAAATCCTCAAATCTTTTTTAAAATGTATCAAAGAATACGTAAGATCTGGATTTGAGCAATTTCATCAAAAAATGGCGCAGTAGTTTCAGCCTTAACCTAATCCTATCCTATCAATCAATTCCTAATCCTAACCTACCAACCATAATACATGTTTTTATTTTGAAAACCAGATACAATTAAGTTGTGTCCCTGATTATTAGTACAAGAGCTGACCCAGGTTTCCTCGACTCTATCCTCAACCAACCTGAACCAAGAAGGGTTCAGACAACAACATTTTTAATTTTAGGATTAATAAAATAACTTGAAGAAATTCTAAAACGTTTACTTTTTAAGGAAGTAACTGAGTTTTTGCCACATACTTAAATTTTCTTATCACTGCATAAACCGATATATACGTAGACAATTTGATCTGACAAATTCATAGTTTGAAAATTCAAATATCTTAAAAGTCTAAACTCACATTTTCTAACCCCGAAAGGTTTTCAGCCTGACGGTGTAAATCTTTTATTTTTCAAACTTATACTATTTGATCTAAAATATTCATAGTTAGAAATATCAAAGGTCTAAACTATGAATTTTGAACCCCTATAGCGTTACAACCTGGATTTTTCAAACTTTGACTTTTTGATCTGACAGATTCAAGGTTTGAAATATCAAAGGTCAACGACCTCGGGTTAGAAAGATATAGGTATTAAAAAATCTGTGGATAAAAATCAGTTCCTTTCACGAACATACGACGTTAAATTTCCTAGGTTTCCAGCTAAAATTATAAATATCCTTGAAAACTTAGGTTTATTTGATGTACCGTCACGATTTTTAGGCAGCTAGAGCAAATTGTGAAGTACACCATATCTGGTTAATCGATAAAACGAACCAGTAAATGAAGATATTCCTTCTAGAAACAAATTATGTGATTTAGGATTATAGCCAAGATACTTTTAAAAATTTAGATTAATAAAAGTGGGATATTCGGAAGCACATGAATGGTACTTCTCTTGATCGATTAACTTAAAGGGACTGTAAAGGAAAAATGAAAGGGGGTATAGGATAAAACCTGAGAATTTCAGGTTCTGAACGATACCTATAAGACATCTATCTGATGTTCCTGTTTCGAGAAATTGACATAAAACTGTGTCAAAATTATACCAAAAAGGACATATGTGATATTTTGTACAAAAGTTGTAGCATTAAACAAATCATATTCATCAATTACGCAAAACCAATCTGAAAACGTCTTATAGGTATCGTTCAAAACCTGAGATTCTCAGGTTTTATCCTATAACCCCTTTTCGTTTTTCCTTCACAGTCACTTTAACCCTAGAGAAAATTTCAATCGATCCTCTATTTAAAAACCGTCTGATTCACATCCAATCCTCGAAATCTTAATCTAATCAATAATTAGATGTACGGGGCATTCAAGAGCTATTTTATCCAACCCGCTGCAGAGTTCAGAAACAACCCTAAACAAGGTTAAGACTAAGCTATAAGCTTAGGATACTATTATTAAGTTCAGATTTTTTCAGGATTAAAAATATGGCACAAATTAAGTTTCAGATACTTGTATTTCTGGAATACAAGCGGAGAAAGAGAATTAAGTAAGAAATCCGTGCTTTGATCCTAATCTTACCACCTCACATGACCCCAAGAAATGTTTATGACTGGTCAAAATTAAAACTTAAAAAACTTATTTAAAGTAAAAATCCGCAAAATTTTGTTTTAATGACAGAACGATATAAAAATATGCAACGTGAAGTGCAACAGTTCCGCTTCAGATATATTGCATTGGATGTAATGCAAGAAGTATGACGCATGCGTGTATGAGTGATCTTGTTGGATTTTATCAGGACTAGAATCTCAATACAGCTCAATGCAATGGAACATTAAAACTGTAAATCAAAGTTAAGATGTCAGTTCTCTAATTGAGAGCTACAAACGTCATCGTGAACATTCATATGAGAATGCAACTTTTTTATTACGACACATGTCAATGTTTTTTTTTTTGCAGGATGTCTAAAAATTAAGAGATAATTTTTTTTTAACTCCATGTTTACACAAATAAATAAACCGAAACACAAAAAAATGATTTTGTATAAATCTTCTTTTTTTTTAGTCCTTTAGTTCATCAAACTGGAGATCGAAATCTTTATATATTTTTATACATTTTTATACATTTTTATACATTTTTATACATTTTTCTGTAAGTATTTTGTTTTGCTTTAAAGTTTAAAGTTTAAAATTGCACAAGCATTGTCAAGATCGAGATGGGTGCACTTGTAAAGCCACAGCTTAAAAAAACATCTGACAAAAGTGTATACAGGGTTTCTCATAAACGATGAGACTTTATTGACGACATGAACATCTTTAAATAAAAAATATAGAATTGAAACTGGTCAGTGAATAATCTTTGTATGGAATGTTGACTTTTTTTGTCAATGACCAAAACAGGTTTTTATTTGCAAATACCCATATGTGTAGGGGAGAAAATGTTAGATAAATTGTATACAGTAGTCGTCTCCAAAGCATCATGATTTGTGGGTAACCTTTTAAATTACATCTATGTAGGATACGGGCATAGAGAAAGGAAACGAAGAGATGTATACATAACATACCATCCTTTCTAGATCATTTAAAAAAAACCTCAGTTTTTAATGAAAATAAATCAGACTTGAAATTGAACTAATATCCTTAGAATTACAAAACAGAATGGGGAAAATAACGACATTGGATAATTTTAAAATGGTTGCCCTCTCCCTAATTTACCCTTTTTCTTCTTCTAGCTCCAGTATGGAGCTGTAGACTGTGGAGCTGATCCTATGTGAGCAGCTTTGAAAGTTTGACATGGAGCTTCTTGAATCCTCATCAGAGCAGCTTGCAACAGCTTCCTCAGATTCAGCTATACGTTGGGAAAGCCTAAAAAAGCAACATAGTATTGAGAAATTGATTTTTCGATTAAATTTTATTAATTCTCTTAGATATAACGTGATTAATGGTGATCGTATACCCTGCAGAGCACTAAGACAACTCTGAAAGTTAATTATAAAAGTTTTATACAGCCTAGACTTTAAAGTGTCACAACGCCTTGGCCTTTGGTTTAACCTCACCAACTTACAAATACTTTTTAGCCTTAGCCTTAGACATGTAAAAAATGCTACGCACTTGTTTATAGTTTAAGTTTCAAAACAGTAATTGGCAAAATACTATTAGATTTTTGCGTGAGAGCGTGCACATCTTGGTTTGCAGTTAGATATAACTTTATTCAAGGGATCAAGAATTTATCCTTCAGAGGTCGGTACTGTGTGTGGAATATCCTTAATCTTCAACATTTGATCTAGATATTCAGGGTGGGTACTGTGTTGTGGAGTATCCTTAATCTTCAACATTTGATCTAGATATTCAGGGTGAGTACTTGTAAATTTAATCCCTCAATTAAAGTTATGCCAGCAGGGTATGCCCACGGAATATCCAAGTGGAGTTAAACTAATCCGTTGGTAGGTCTGCATATTAAACTAATCCGTAGGTAGGTAGGTAGGTAGGTCTGCATATTAAACTAATCCGTAGGTAGGTCTGCATATTAAACTAATCCGTAGGTAGGTAGGTAGGTCTGCATATTAAACTAATCCGTAGGTAGGTAGGTAGGTCTGCATATTAAACTAATCCGAAAGTAGGTCTGCATATTAAACTAATCCGTTGGTAGGTCTGCATATTAAACTAATCCGTAGGTAGGTCTGCATATTAAACTAATCCGTAGGTAGGTCTGCATATTAAACTAATCCGTAGGTAGGTAGGTCTGCATATTAAACTAATCCATAGGTAGGTAGGTAGGTAGGTAGGTAGGTCTGCATATGATGGAGATCAGCCGATATTCACAGCCTTTTTCAGAAACAAACTTACAAAGAGAGTTAAATAAAAACTTGTAAAATTGACTGATGAATTTTCCTTGCTTGACAAATACGGGATAAATTAAAACTGCATACTATTAAATCAATTGTATTTCCAATAAAAAGCTGCAATATATCTAAATATGTTTTTTACATTTACAAACTTGCAATTAACAAGTGACACATTTACGACAAACGGCTGTCACGAAATATAACAACTTTAGTAGATAGATAGATAAAGCAGAATAATGACAGAAATTGAGCAGCTAAAGGTTTAAAGAAGTTAAAATTATTTTTATTTTATTTTTTTCAGTGTCAAACAAATTGTTTACATTGTGGAGGACAAAATTATGCAATATGTTGGATACGATTAGAAAGCCTGCAGAGTGAACAGCATAAAAGTAGAAAATTAGAAAGCTGAAAGTTTCTTTTTAGAAATAAGTAAATAAATCAATTCAATACTTACAAACAAGTGTTTATTTAATATATTATATTCAATGAAATTTTTAAAAAGTAAAAAAAATTCCGGAAACCTGTCATATAGTCATTTTGAAAATTTTACTTCTATCTAAAGTGTCTAAAATTAAGGATTATGGAAGGGTTTAGGTCCTCACAGCTCAGTTTTGGGAGTGGAACTGGAATCTTAATTTTCAAAACTGTCAGCTTGAAAAAAATAAAAATTGTGTTTATAAAACTTTTAATCAATTATAACATCATTTCAAACAAAACAAGCAGTATTCATCTTTTTCTACAAAAAGTATCTTAGAATTTGCATTTAAAGGATTTNTTACATTGTATGTATATCGGAAAATATTTGTTACATTGTATGTATATCGGAAAATATTTGTTACATTGTATGTATATCGGAAAATATTTGTTACATTGTATGTATATCGGAAAATATTTGTTACATTGTATGTATATCGGAAAATATTTGTTACATTGTATGTATATCGGAAAATATTTGTTACATTGTATGTATATCGGAAAATATTTGTTACATTGTATGTATATCGGAAAATATTTGTTACATTGTATGTATATCGGAAAATATTTGTTACATTGTATGTATATCGGAAAATATTTGTTACATTGTATGTATATCGGAAAATATTTGTTACATTGTATGTATATCGGAAAATATTTGTTACATTGTATGTATATCGGAAAATATTTGTTACATTGTATGTATATCGGAAAATATTTGTTACATTGTATGTATATCGGAAAATATTTGTTACATTGTATGTATATCGGAAAATATTTGTTACATTGTATGTATATCGGAAAATATTTGTTACATTGTATGTATATCGGAAAATATTTGTTACATTGTATGTATATCGGAAAATATTTGTTACATTGTATGTATATCGGAAAATATTTGTTACATTGTATGTATATCGGAAAATATTTGTTACATTGTATGTATATCGGAAAATATTTGTTACATTGTATGTATATCGGAAAATATTTGTTACATTGTATGTATATCGGAAAATATTTGTTACATTGTATGTATATCGGAAAATATTTGTTACATTGTATGTATATCGGAAAATATTTGTTACATTGTATGTATATCGGAAAATATTTGTTACATTGTATGTATATCGGAAAATATTTGTTACATTGTATGTATATCGGAAAATATTTGTTACATTGTATGTATATCGGAAAATATTTGTTACATTGTATGTATATCGGAAAATATTTGTTACATTGTATGTATATCGGAAAAGCGAAAGAAACACAAACCAATTCACTCTGAAAATCTTACCTCAGGACAAATGTTGTTTTATAAAGTTAATTTAGTTGGTCTGAGGGAACAGCTTTAATAAAGAATTGTTCAGGCATAGCATATACAGTATACAATATACAATTTTGAGCACTTTGAATGCTAATATTTCAATTTTTCAAGCAACTTATTTAAAAAAGGGAGGAGGGGTTGCAAATTACACCACCCTTTTCAGGAGAAAGGGAGACCTGACCCCTTGCACCCTTGTACAAGCCTGTGGAAGCATACTGACCATATTAATAATTTTAACTTGTTTATCCTTGCAATTGCAATTGTAAACCACATTTATTGTATTTTGATATTCCTATAAATCTACCAAAATTACAGAAGTCTTTTTGAGATATTAGGCAGAGCGTCGTAAATCGTTATACACCACCAAGTAACAATATTCAAGTCTTTTTGAGATATTAGGCAGAGCGTCGTAAATCGTTACGAGTATATAACCTGCAAAATGGTAATGGCACTTGGCGAATTGAATTTCATAGACATCTTTTTGGAAAATAAAGCTCGCATTTGGTTTGAATTAAGATGTGTTAGACGAAATTAACCAATTTATTTCAAATTGTTTTATTATTTTATTATATCAACATTGTCAACGCTTAAAAAAGCATCGGGAATGTCGAAGTCGGAAAACTTTTTAAAAAGTCCTTTAACAACTAGAAAAACACCCATTAAACTTTATTTTATTATTGATTGAAAGACATATCTTCTTTTGATTATCATAGACGATACATTGACAACTTTTTTCCATTTTTGACATCCTTTAACATCATAATTTTCCTAAAAGGAATTGAGTTTTTGCCACAAATTTAAATTTTCGAATTCCAATATCTTAGCAACCTGATGTAGTACACATTTGATATTTCAAACTTAGATAAGTTAAGCTAACATAATTCATAGTTTAAAATATCTAAGGTCTACGATAATTGGTTGGAACAATACAAGGACTAGAAAATCATAGTTTGTTGCAAAGACTCATTTCCCTTACCTGAAGCGTTTAACTATAGAACAAAGATCTAGACTTGAATCCTCCCCCCAGTGCTTTAAAAAGGCATCAGTATGCATATCCTAGAAAGTAAATTAGTAACTCGATTTTATTTATAAATCTACAAATTCATGTTTATTTAATGATCATTATATTTTTCTGACATATCATTTGTCTTAAATCTTCATCATTATTAAGTTGTTTTTATGTTGTTTTTATATATTTTTCATGAATATTTAAAACTATGAATTATTTTACACTTTTAAAACATGGTTCGAGTATAAACCTTACTCCTACTCCAATGGTGGTTTGTTTTGATTCTCGATGTGTTTGCTTTTTTGTTTTTTATTCTGTTTACAATATTTTATTGATATGAGTTATTATGTATATTTGTCCGTCTGTAAGTTTATCTGTTTTATATTTCTGCAATTTGAAACATTAAATATTAAAAAATCCCCCCCCATATTTTTGAAATTATTTCGATTGGGACTTTTAAGAAATAAAATTAAAAACTTTTAATTCTAATTTTTACCTTCATACTATTAATTTCTTGTTGCGAATGGCACTGCTTCCAGTTTTTAGAGCAAATATTAACTATTCCATCCAGAACAGTGCACAATAATTCCCCTTTCCCTTTCTTCCTAAACAGTTAATTTAGAATAAACTAGCTGGAGTTCCCGCCGTTTACCGCACTTGGTGTCAAATCAGGAGTTTAGCTGAAGTGCCCTGCGTTGCCCCTGGAATTTCAAAACTTTCCAAAGTTTTTCAGCCTATGTCACCTCCGGAGAATCAATGGGTTTCCTTAATTTATCTATATTCAACATTGTTTTCAATGCATAAATAAATACAATAATAGAATAAATAGAATAAATAGAATAAATAAAATAATATATTAAATAGAATAAATAGAATAATATAATAAATAGAATAAATGGAATAAATAGAATAGCAGTAATTTCCCTATCTTTAATCTAAACCAGCTGTTTAAAGGCACTGTAAGTGTAATTTTAAGTGAAACTGTAACTGTCTATTTTCCTTTGCGGTTTCTATGCAAAAGCGACTTGATTTCTAGCTTATAAGAAGCAATAGAGAAACTATCAGAACTAAACACTTTTTAAGTCAGAAAAACGACAATATCTTTATCTTACACAATTTTTATCAAGGATAACGTTGTAAATTGGACATTGCCATCTTTTGCATGGGGGTCACATGAAGTGACACTAACAGTCCTTTTAATAAAGATATATCATAACAGATGGAGTGATTGTCAACGTAGTCTACAGTCTTTCTTTTATGAAGAAACTAGCTTGAAAACCCAGCTTGGTCCAGGGGACTCATCTAAATAGTCCCACCGTTTACCCGCCCCTTGTCCTAAATTACGATTTTAGCTATTTTTCCCTTTAAACTTCAACTTAAAACAAACAAATACAGAAAAACAGAGATTACAACTTTATATAGAACTAGCTTGGGAACCCAGCGTTGCCCAGGGTACTCTATACTCATAGTTACTCCCGCCGTTTACCCGCACTTGGTCGTAAATCACGATTTGAGCTATTTTTCCCGATAAAAGTCGACCCACTCAACTAAGAATGTCAAAACCAAGCTAAGAACATTCCCGTGGTTCTCTCGAGTTTCCCAATCAGAGTTTGAGGCAAATAGGTCTAGGGGTTTCTGATCTTACAAACAAACAAACAGAGATTACAACTTTATATACATAGAAGATGATGCTAGGGGTTGTGACAGAGGGTAAGCTAGAAGGTCTGGAAAAGATGATGTTTAAACTAACCCATCATTATGAATCTGATGAGTAAAGTTTGATCTACAATCTGAGAACTGTTCCTGCATCCTTGTATGCTGGTCTTGTGTACAGGGTATACCAACCACCCCTGCAACAACTACTAAACATAATATTCACGATTAGGCATCCTAAATATTTCTTTTAACTATTATTGGACAGTCAATATCAGTACGAGTTCATTGATTTTCTTTCATTGTCTAAAATAATCATATATTGCTCGGTGGATGTTAGCTTATGGGGAAACATTCCCCCGCCCCTCCCTCTCCCTCGAGAATTTATTTTTATAATCTGTTTAATATTTACTAGGTCATATAACCTTATGATCTAATTGTGAATATGCCTGTGTGTAGAGTGGTCAGAAATAAAGATCGCATTTTCACTCAAATTCTTTAAATTTTGCAAAACATCTGATCCAGATTATCCTTTTGTTTATACTCAATTCACGGCTCACTCTTTTATATCTTGAGTTTAGATTAGGGTATTATTTTCAATCATTTATAACTATGAACAATGCTTTAAGTCTACCACAGTCAAGACAATACTGGTCTGATCTTGAAAAGTTGAAAACTTAGTGTTGTGTTGTCCAAATATTTTCTATAGATATTCAGTACTGACTCGGGAGTCGGGATAGTTTAGAGCTGGCTGGGCTAGTTCAGCTCAGGTCTGCTTGAGTATTCTGTACAGGCTCGAATGTGTCGAGCGGAAGGCTTTTATTTTGTACCGGCAAGCATATAAAATATGCAATTTACAATTTACTAGACTTGATGACTTTTTCTATTATTCACAACAGTCTAAGTAACTGAGTTTTAAATTTTTAACCACATCAGATGTCATAAACCTTTTATATTTCTAACTATGACTTTTTTAGATCCAATTCTATCTAAGTTTGAAATATCAAATGTTTACACCATCAGGTTACAAAGATATAGGTAGTATAAATTTGAGTTTGTGGCAAAAATTCAGTTATAACTTTGTAAATCTAATCGACACAAATCTATTTCTTTATATTCATGGAAAGTTGGTTGATCATAAATAGATAGATATTTTTATTACAAATATGTTAAACCAGCTGACATAATTAGATAAACCAGCTGACATAATTAGATAAACCAGCTGACATAATTAGATAACATTTTTTACAATTCAAATTTAGGTTCAATTTTTTCAGTTTTCAATGTACGAACGTCTATATAGCTGTTTGTAATCTGACAAGGCTGATATCTCGAATTAGAAATTTAATGAGATTGATTCACAACGGTACCTTTGTCGGACTCTGATCAAGTTATACAGAATAACAGTATAACAGTATAACAGTATAACAGTTGAGAAATATGATAAAAAATATACCACCCTCAGATTCTCGAATTTGGGGAATACCCTAATATAATTGGGAATTTGGGGGGAATTCTATAATTGTCTTGGTATTCGGGAAATTTCCCAAATGTCCTAAATATTAGAGATAGTTCCCAGATTCCCCAAATTCTTGTCAGAATCTGATATTGGTTAATTTAAGAAAGAAAAGAAAAATTTAAATACAATTTATAATTTAATTTAAAAATTTTGACTTAAAAAAAAATTTTAAGTAATTTTGGGAATTTACCAATTAACTGATTATTTGGGAAATTTCCCAATTACCTAGACGTTAAATAATATCTCAGATTCCCCAAATTCCTGTTGGACTCTGATGATGGCTTATTTTGAAAATTTAGAAATTTCTTCAATGCGTATTGGAAAAACTTCCCTAATTCATGGGTATTTGGAAAATTTCTCTGATTCTCCAAATTTCAATAAAAATTTGCAAGATTTTAGTAATTATCCAGATTCCATGGGTTATGGGTATTTGGGAAATTTTCCAAAAATTTCCCAAATGCTTATACGTATAGAGAAAATTCTCAGATTTCCCAAATTACTTTTGAAATCTCGAGAGTTACATTAATATTATCAAATTGCATTTTTCAACAGAAAGAGGGAGCTTAAATTTTAAAAAGGGAGATTTTTTTATGCTCTCGAGTGTTACATTCCTGTGTAACTAAAACATAAAACTAAAATATCTTAAAATGTCTCACCAGATGTTAAAACGTAAAAATACTATTTTAAAACACTTTAAAGTTTACAACTTAGAGTAGAACTTATCAAATATCAAAGGGAAGAAATATATCACTGAATCAAACATACAATCCTACACCAGATAATTGTTTGTATAAAAAAAAACATAAAATGAACCTTTATAAACAAAAGTAGATTTTCTAAAAAAAATCAAACAAACATACCCCTCGAAAGTATTTATATGGAATTATTAGAACGGTTATAAATATGAACACGAATACAAATCTTAAATATAAATCTTATGCATATCATATTTAATCCAATCACTTATCTTGCCAACATTTTGCAACTCTAATCTGGCAAATATCATTTTACGTATTTCAATTTCAAGCCTTTATGTGTGTCCCAGTAAATAAAATAATTTGTGAATTGCTCTTATTTCATCATATTTTGAATTAATAGATGTATGATCATGCAATATCAAAGAAGAAAATAATTAGAGGGTCTTAAATTTGAGCAGTGCCTTTATGATATTATATATTTTATAGATTGATAGATAGATAGATAGATAGTAAGTTTAGGTAGATGCTAGATAGATACTAAGATTAGATATATAGATAGATAGATAGATAGATACTAAGATTAGATATATAGATAGATAGATAGATAGATACTAAGATTATATATATAGATAGATAGATAGATACTAAGATAAGATAGATAGAGAGATCAGGGGCGTACCCCCCCTGAGAGGCTGAAGGGGGGCACCCATGGGGGAGGCTCTTTTAATATTACATCTGCTTGCTTTTCCCTTCCTCAGGCCAAGCACAGTGGCGTACCTAGGGGGGGGCAGTAGTCCTCTTGCCCCCCCTGGGAGTTCCAGGCAGGGCACTGCCCCCCTGGAAAATACAAAATTAAAAGGAAACTACGTTTAAAAAGTAACACCTGACAATGACAAAGACTAAGGATTTGTATAAATTCACTGTTAATACAAGGAGAGAAAAGTTTTAGCCTTCTGCACTGAAGAGAATATTTCATTACACAAGATGTACTATGACGGAGAGCAGACTTAACGATCTTGCACTTATAGCTTTACACCCTAAAAGGCTGTCTGAGCTCTCTACTGAAAAAATTATTGAAATGTTTGTGGCAAGCAAATCCCAGAAAATTGTAGCTTAAAGGAGTTGGTGAATATGTAGAATGAGTAAATTCTATCTAAAAATTTCAGAAGAAATTTCGTTTATTAGTAAAAATATAATTTTTAATGATGCTGTGATTATTGATTTAGTTAGCTGTGATGGAGTTAAGTGATAAATTTATAAAGTCAAAAAGTTAGTTTTTCAAGCAAAGGAATAATTTTTAGACTCTAAGGTTAGTAA